GCTTAACGATCAGTCCCCCATAACACTGCCCTCACTTCAGATGTCAGCTTTACTTCAGGAGACCCCAGGCCACCTGAACTCCTGACCAAATGACCATGACTTCAGGGGTTCCCTCTGCTAGGTCTGATCAAATAATGGAACCGATACCCCCTCCCCTGGGAACTGACCTTTAGGCCACTTCACAGCCCGCATTCCCGGTGGCTTAGACCACATTCCATTTGCTAAGAACATTCATTATCTTTCCCCTCAGGACCTAGCCCAGAGAATTCCCCACCTAGAAATTCTCCTGCCTCGAATAGTTTAAAATCTCTGACTCCCTGTCCCTGGGTGCTGGCGCCATTCTGGGGCTGGGCCCCTCTGGTTTTCCAGATGACCTAGTAAACTCAGAATTCTTTACCACTTTTGGCCTCGTGTGTTCCTCCCGTGGTGACCTTTACCCCCACAGGTTCAATAATTTTCGCTGGCAGCTCACAGACTCAGGAAGGTGCTGTAAATAGTATTAAAGTTTTATTGTAAAGGCTATACATTGGGCAGGTTCTTGGAGGAAAGCAGAGTGCCTGTGTCCTCCCTTGGTAGAGGGCTGGCACATCGACGTGTTCACTGACCAGGAAGCTCCCTTGAGTTTCAGTGTCCAGAGTCTTGATCAAGTTTCTGTCAATAGGCATGATGGAGTAAATCAGAGCTTGCAAACAAGAAAAGAATAGGTGTTGGGGGCGGGGCGGGGGGAGGCGCAGAAGCGGGGGAGCATTGGCCTCTGCAATGCTGTCTGTGCAACTTCTCCACAAAGTGCTAGGGCGCACCCCATCTTGGGGTTTGGAGGATGGAGTAGGGGGCAGGGGGTGAGAGAAGAGAACTAAAGAGGACTCCATGGGGCTACAAGCCATGCTTGTATTGTATAACCGGAAACTCACCCCGAGTCACAAACACCATCCCATGGCAGATTTAAGCTTTTATGGAAGCCCCCATCAAGCCCTGCTGGGTGGGTGCATGCCTCAGGTCCCCCATCCTGGCACGAGCTTGGGGCATGACCTGAGGTTCCCCTGTCAAGCCCCATGGCTTGCTGGTTGCTTGATGAGTTTCCTTACGGGCATTTGGCCTCCATTGTGGGTGCAACCATCTTGTGTTATGGAAACGCCCCCTCCACTGTGGCAGAGTGATGGGCGGGGGCGCACCTTGAGGTGCGCATATTCCCTCTTTATTACTATATAGGATTTGTATTTCCCTGATGATTGATGATGGTGATGAGCATCTTTTCATGTTTATTTGTATATATTCTTTGGAGAAACATCTATTTTGTCTATTTTCTTAGATATGAAAGAAACATGTCCTTTGTCTATTTAAAAAATTGAAATATGCCAAAACCGGTTTGGCTCAGTGGATAGAGCATTGGTCTGCGGACTGAAGGGTCCCAGGTTTAATTCCAGGCAGGGGCATGTACCTTGGTTGTGGGCACATCCCTGGTGGGGGGTGTGCAGGAGGCAGCTGGTCGATGTTTCTCTCTCATCCATGTTTCTAGCTCTCTGTCCCTCTACCTTCCTCTCTGTAAAAAATCAATAAAATATATTTAAAAAAATAAAAGAACTTCAGAGGCATCTTTAAAAAAAAATTGAATTATTGTCCTAGCTGATTTTATGCCTGCAGACTGAAGGGTCCCAGGTTTGATTCTGGCCAAGACTTATACTTTGGTTGCAGGCTCAATCTCTGGCTCTGGTCTGGGAGTGTGTGGAAGGGAACCAGTCCACACATCGATGTTTCTCTGTCTCTTCTTCTCCCTTCCACTTCTCTAAAAATCAATGGGGAAAAAATTCTTTGGTGAGGATTTTCTAAAAATTGAATTATCTTTTCATTGTTAAATTGTAAGAGTTCTTTATATATTCTGGATACTAATCCCTTATTCTATCTAATAAAAGAGTAATATGCAAATTGACTGTCACTCCAAGGCACAAGATGGCCACCCCCTTGTAGACACAAGATGGCCACTACAAGATAGCCTGCAGGGAAGGGCAGTTGGGGGGGACCAGATCTGCACGGGAGAGAAGTTGCTGGGAGGGGGGGGGGGAAACCAGGCCTACAGGGGAGTGCAGTTGTGGGCAATCAGGCAAGCAGAGAGGGCAATTAGGGGTGACTGGGCCTGCAAAGAGGGCATTTGGGGGAGACTAGGCCTATAGGGAAGGGCAGTTGTGGACAATCAGGCAAGCAGGGGAGGGCAGTTGTGGGTGATCAGGCCAGCAGGGAGGGCAGTTAGGGGTGACCAGGCCTACAGGGGAGGGCTGTTGGAGGCAACCAGGTCTGCAGGGGATGATAGTTAGAGGCAATCAGACTGGCAGGGGAGGACAGTTATGGGTGACCAGGATGGCATGGGAGGGCAGTTATGAGCAAATGGGCTGGCTGGGGAGCAGTTAGGCATCTATCAGGCTGGCAGATGAGTGACTAGGGGGTGATCAGGCTGGCAGGCAGAAGTGGTTAGGGACAATAAGGCAGTCAGGCAGGAAAGCAGTTGGGAGACAGCAGTCCTGGATTGTTAAAGGGATGTCCGACTGCTCATTTAGGCCCAATCCCACCAGGCCTAAATAGGTGGTTGGACATCCCTCAAGGGATCCCAGATTGGAGAGGGTGCAGGCTGGACTGAGAGACACCCCCTGCCCTGTGCATAAATGTTGTGCACCAGGCCTCTAGTCAGATATATGTTTTGCAAATATTTTCTCTCATTTTGTGGGTTCTCTTTTCACTTTCTCAAGTGTTCTTTGACACACCAAAGTTTTTAGTTTTAACGTCCAATTTATCTATTTTTTCTCTTATTATTGTGTTTTTGGTTTCATATCTAAGAAAAACATTGCCTAATCCAAGGTCATGAAAATATATTTAGGTTTTCTTCCCAGAGTTTTATAGTTTTAGCATTTACATTTAGGATCTAGGGTTTGTTTGTTTGTTTGTTTTGTATCTGGTATAAGGTAATATAACATCATTCTTTTGCTTGTGGATATTCATAGAACTTTTAAACTGTATTGAATTGCTGATCTTTCTTTGAAATTCTACGTAATAAAAGAGTAATATGCAAATTAACCATCACTCTGCTCACAAGCCACACTCACAGCCAATCAGAGCATATATGCAAATTAACCCCAGCCAAGATGGCTGTGGCTACAGAGGCTTGGGTTTCTCTGGCAACGGAAGAAGCCAAGCTCCCTTCCCTTCCCCAGCAGGCCTAAGACTCCACTCCAGGCTACAAAGTTTCAATTATAGAAGGTAAACAAGAAAAGGCTACTGCCATGGAGCAAGCAGGAGGCTTGACTTGGCTCCAAGCTACAAAGTTTCAATTGTAGGAAGTAAATATATCCCAGATACTTGGGTTGCCACAGGGTGTGGCTGGCCTGCAAACCACCACAGGCCCCTCATTCAGGCCACCCTATGCCCCAAGGGAACCCCCACCCTGATCCGGGACACCCTGCAGGAAAAACCAGCTGGCCCCCACCTGTGCACCAGGCCTCTATTCTATCTAATAAAAGAATAATATGCAGATTGACCATCACTCCAGCACACAATATGGCTGGCCCCATGTGGTCAAAGATCCTGTCCCTATGTGGACACAAGATGGCCACCACAAGATGGCCAGCAGGGGAGGGCAGTTGGGTGGGACCAGGCTTGCAAGGGAGGGCAGCTGTGGGTTATCAGGCAAGTAGGAGAGGGCAGTTGGGAGGCACCAGGCCTGCAAGGAAGGGCAATTGAGAGGGACCAGGCCTGCAAGGGAGGGCAATTGGGGGCAATCAACCCTGCAGGCAAGGGCAGTTAGGGGTGACCAGACTGGCAGAGAAGGGAAGTTGGGGGCAAACGGCCTGCAGGGGAGCAGTTAGACATCAATCAGGCTGGCATGGGAGTGGTTAGGGGGTGGTCAGGCTGGCAGGCAGAAGTGGTTAGGGGCAATCAGGAAGGCAGGCAGGTGAGCAGCTGGGAGCCGGTAGCCCTGGATTGTGAGAGGGATGTCCGACTGCCCATTTACATCCGGTGGGATCGGGCCTAAATGGTCAGACATCCCTCGAGGAATCCCAAATTGGAGAGGGTGCAGGCTGGGCTGAGGGACAACACCGTCTCCCCACCCCCACGCCCCAGCCCTCGTGCACGAATTTTGTGCACCGGGCCTCTAGATATACTATAAACTCTATGAGGGCAGAGACCAAGGTGGTCCTACTAAATCTTTTTTTAATGAATAGATGAATTAGGTAACCAAAATATCAAGTTTCTTTTCTTTTCCAGAATTATATCAACTCTGTGCAACAACACTTTTGACAATCCCTTGAAAGTATCAATTCAGAAACCAACTAGATGACAGAGTAATAGGGACTGATTTAAAGTCAAATGCTGACTTTCATTTAGGAACTGTGTAACTTTGGGCAAATTACATTACTACCATCTTATTTCTTAAAATGGGGATTTAATTGGTTCAGTGTTAAAGGAATAATTGAGATCTTGTAACTAAAGTGCTTTGCATTTTCTAAGCATCCATCATATAGTAGCATTTATATTGCAAAGGAATAGAAGAATATTGGGAAATCCTTTAACATACTACTGCCTTTTGTCCCAGATTCCTTCTGTAGTACAGATTTCAGTATCTTTATTTTCTTTTGTGAATTGAGTATTGTTAGACCACTAATATTTAATATGGAAGAAAGGAATACACATAAATACAATTCAATGTGGGAATGACCTTAAAGGTATGCAAATACTCTGGAGTTCAGAATGTCCTGAGCAACAGAAAGAAATACCCTTTGGTGTTGTAAAAACTTAGCGAAAAAGGTTTCTGAACAGGAACTATAGGCCTTTTGGATTTATCTCATTTAAACAAATTTCAGGTTTGTTCCGCAGTTATTTATGTGTCTGTCTCCTTCACTAGTCAGCATAGAAAACCTGTCTGAAGCCATTGGATTTCCAGGACAGTGGGCACGCCTCCGATGGTTGTTGAACTGACGTGTTTTGGCCACTTGAGTCAGAAAGGATTATCTGGAGAGGGATGGAGAAGTCGGGAGGCAGAGGACACACCTCGATTCATTGCCAAGAAGGGGAGAGCGGCTCCGGTATGGGACACCAGTCAGTGCTAAGGCTCCAGTTTGACGCCAGGAACCGAGGGAACCGCCTGCGAGCACTTTCTTTCCGGCTCCCGGCCCAGCAGGGCCACTTCCGGGAGAGGGCGGGGAGATTTGAAAAGAAGTGCGGGGAAGGAGGCCTTTTGCACTGCACCGGGCGGAAGTGTGCCAAAGGTATCCGGATTGCCGCTTCCGGTCCGGGTTAACGCGGTTTAGCTACCCTGCGTGGGGTGTGTGTGTGGTGCTGGGCCGGACTTCTGGGGGCCAATCGTGGGTGGAAGAGGCGAGCACCGGCTTCAGGACTCAGGAGTGGGGAATCTCATGGGAGGATCGGAGAAAGGGCCAGGAACCTGAATACGACCTAACCTCTGTTTCCGAGGGGCAACTTCCACCGGGAACCCCTCTGCCCTGATAACGGCCAAAGAAGAGATGGCGCCAGTCGGGGAGCGGCTGTGGCCGACACAGTAAGGAAGGGCGAAGGCGGAGCAACCGGAGGAGCCTTGGACAAGAGCGAGAGCCGTCACTGCCGCCGCCGCCGCCGCCGCCGCCATGGAAGGAGCCAAGCCGACCCTGCAGCTCGTGTACCAGGCCGTGCAGGCGCTTTACCACGACCCGGATCCCAGCGGAAAGGAGCGCGCCTCGTTTTGGCTTGGGGAGCTGCAGCGTTCGGTGAGGGGCCCGGAGAGGCCGTTCTGCCCCGCGGGGCCAGGGCGGGGTGCGAACGAGGCTGGAGCCGGAGCCCGAACCCGCCGTGGGCCTCGTGAGATCCTCCTCGGGGAGGAGCTGCTCCCGCGGGGTGGGGCTGCGGAGCTGCAGCGCGCTGCGCGGCTTTTTGGAAACTGGGAACAGCTGGCCGGCCGCGCACCGGCCCTTTCCCCGTCTCCTGGAAACTGATGAGTGGGTCCCACACTGGACTGTGGCAACCATGTGGTCCTCTTTTAAGTTTTACCCGTGCTACTTGCTTCTTACATGGCCGTGCTTTTCCGTTTTGTCTTCCTTCAACCAGATCCAGCCCTAAGGCATTCTCTATCTTCCACTTGCGGCTCGGTGGCCAAGTCTTGTGTCTGGCAATTCCTGCCCCGTCGTAACTTACACCTCACTGTTCTTGCTGATGTTTCACTCTAGTTTGAGTTCATTATTCTCGAAACTTCTCAGATGTCTAGATTCTTGTACACGTGAATGGTTGCCTGTGTTTTGGAGTGCAAGATAATTTAAAGATAAAAAAAAAATCAATGCCGATTTCAGGAAAATCTTTGCAGTTCTCGTTTGCTGCATATTGGTTCTCCCGCCTTGTCTTTTCGGTTCTTTATAAGATATGGGTAGCGTAACTGCTTTGATAATTCCGTGCAATTGCAACTTTTTATACCTATTGTATTTCTGCATTCTTTGATGCACAGGTCTTACGTTTTCTTATCTAATTTTTGTATTCACCTTTGCTGTGTGTGTGTGTGTGTGTGTGTGTACTTGCTGACTTTACCATTTTTTATTTCTAATTTTGTTAAAAATCTTGCCCCTCTTTTCTTCTTAAAAAAATATATTTTATTGATTTTTTTTTTACAGAGAGGAAGAGAGAAGGGATAGAGAGTTAGAAACATCGATCAGCTGCCTCTTGCACACCCCACTAACCAAGGTACATTCCTTTGACCAGAATTGAACTTGGAACCTTTCAGTCCACAGGCCAACGCTCTATCCACTGAGTCAAACCGGTTTTGGCTATTTCTTTCTTCTTTTTTTTTTTTTTTTAAAATATATTTCATTGATTTTTTACAGAGAGGAAGGGAGAGAGATAGAGAGCTGGAAACGTCGATGAGAGAGTAACATCGACCAGCTGCCTCTTGCACACCCCCTACCGGGGATGTGCCCGCAACCAAGGTACATGCCCTTGACCGGAATCGAACCCGGGACCCTTCAGTCCACAGACTGACGCTCTACCACTGAGCCAAACCGGTTTCGGCTTCCTTTCTTTCTTTTTTTTTTTAACTAATAATTGGTACTTAAAGGTACTCTACTCTTTTAAACCAGCCCCTAGGCTGCAAGTGAATATTATTTTAAAATTTATAATTTTTATATTATACTTAAAAAACAGGTGGCGGTCCACGTGCTGGATAACCTCATGGGAAGATAAAGAAATAAGTGTCACTGTGGGTTACACAAGAAAATCATTCACATGTGGTCTTATTTACTGTTTAGTTAGGGGACTGACAAGTCCTTAACTATCATAGAGTTTTTAAAGTAAATAGGAGAAATGCTACGTTATGCCAAAAGTCAGCTCTTCCCTATTAAGCCTGCTTATTGCTGTGTGTATTTTAAATCAGTGTTTGAGTACATACCATGTACTAGCGACTGTGCGAAGCTTTGGTATATGGAAATGAAACATAAAAAAATCTCTGCCACATAGGATGCTTGTGATGATTAAATGAGTTAATACTTACCAAGAAAAGTTCTTGGAACCTAGGACTCAAAATATGTTAGTAATTATTATTTAAATGGTAGTCAGTTTTATTACTTTACACTACCCTCTGTTACAACCTTACATCATTATCACCGCTGTCATCCTATGACCTCATCACACAGGGTCCCAAACAGGAACAGTTGGCACACTTGAAATAGGATAATTTGAGGAGGCTTTATTTTTTAAAGGTACTTTATAAAGATGTGGCACCTAAAGAGGTAGTGTTGTAACCTGTAGCCAAATTGTTAATATTTGTAGGCTGGAAGGGATAGGAGAGAGAGTGGTTCCTTGAATTCTCAAGAGTATGGAGTTGGCTACCTTGAGATGAGTGGTAGTTTTTGGTTGAAGGGACACAGCTAGCATGAGGTGACTTTGCAGGGAGGAAGCTGGAGGAATAAATGTCTTGACCAAATGTCTTGTCCCTAGAATTCCCTAGTGGGAAAACCTAACCAGAGCTAGGGGACATGGGAACCTGTTGCTAGAGTGTATATTAGGGTAGAAAAAAATGATAGAAAGGGTGGTAGTGTGGACCTGGAAAATACCTAGCACAGCTACATACCATTTTTAGGCGGTGTCAGCATCTGGATTGACAATTCAGCTAACATATGGGCCTCTTCATTTCTTTACCTCTCTTTCTCAATCAGCTGGTCACACTCACACCCTGGGTCTTGTCATTATTAAAACGTTACCAGGTCCCCAAATCACTAACTCAGATATTTTGTTGGCTCAAGAATCTCAGGTAACCTCATATAGTAGTTTTTATTTTTGAAGCCTTATGTAATTTTAATTTTTATAAAAAATCAAAATTTTATTTTTTATAACTTAATATTAAAGCTAAACTTTAAAAACTTTTTTAAAAAGTTGTAAATGGAAATTTTACGAGAAAACTCCCTAGGATGAAAAAGCAGTTATGTATAGACTTTCTCCTATGAAAGATGAGGGTTTAGGCTCCCTCCATTTCCTTTCATTCATTCTCTCAAACATAATTATATTACTTTTTTTGTTAAATCAATACACATTGTGAATTAAACCATGTAGCATATATATCATGATAATATTTCCCATTTTGTGCATCTTTTTTTCTCATGAAAATTTTGCCTTTTTTTTTTCTTTCCACATTTGCTTTCTTTTCTATGTATCTGTAGTAATTCATTACAAACTTCATCATGAAGTTTGACAAACTTGCTCAAATCTGGCTCTCTAATTGTTGCTCTCTACTATGTTGCGTCATTATTGTCATGGGATTTCAATTTAACACTATTCTAAGGCCGTGGTTGGCAAACTGCGGCTCCCGAGCCACATGTGGCTCTTTGGCCCCTTGAGTGTGGCTCTTCTACAAAACACCATGGGCTGGGAGAGTCTATTTTGAAGAAGTAGCATTAGAAGAAGTTTAAGTTTAAAAAATTTGGCTGTCAAAAGAAATTTCAGTCGTTGTATTTTAATGTTTGGCTCTGTTGACTAATGAGTTTGCTGACCACTGTCCTAGGGTATTCCTTTCACTTCTTTCTTGTGTTGGATGCGCTAAGTTTTGGATCTGATGGTCTTTTCTTGGATTACTCCCTCATTTGTTGGGCAGTCGAGAAGGGAACCTTCACCCTTTCTCTCTCATTGTCTTTCTCTTGGGTCACTTTTACTCTGAGAGAAGTCCTCTGGTCTGCCTGGGGATTATAAACGCTGGTAGCAGGTGGAGAATGAGCTAGGACTGTGGTATTTTGTGGAAGAGCCACACTTAAGGGGCCAAAGAGCCGCATGTGGCTTGTGAGCAGCAGTTTGTCAACCACAGAGCTAGAGGGTGGATTCACTAAGTATTTGGCTTTAATCTAATCACCCATTTTCAGTATGTTGGCCCTGACCTTTATGTGAGCCTGTTGTTCAGGAGTCCAGAGTCACAATGCAGTCTTCCCCAAGTAAACCTGAGTCTTCTGTGATGGTGGGAGAATAGTAGCCGGGCTGCTCACAGTCAGGAGGAAAATCTAGGAATATGTTTATACAGATTTTGAACCCACTCGTTCCTTTGTTTCCTGTTCTACCTGTGTTTCTGCTGTACATGGTACTTCTAATTTCTGAGCCTATTTGGGATTTTGCTTATGAATTAGTTTGTCCCTTTGTGGCATTCTCATCCCATCCTCCCTCCTTGCTCCTAGACTTATTCCAGCTTTCTCAGACCTCCTAAGACACTTAACACTCATCCATTAGCTTTCTAGTTTCAACAGTTTTATTATTATCAATCATGTTTCCATTCTCTGTTCTTGTGGGATTTCCCCACCCCCTTAACCTGCCCTATTTTGTTTTTGTTTTAACTCTTTACTCTGAGTTTAATGGATTTTAATGTGTGTGTGTGTGTGTGTGTGTGTGTGTGTGTGTGTGTGTGTGTTTCAGAGAGTAAAGGAGCGGGAGAGAGAGAGATAGAAACACCAATGATGAGAATCATTGATCGGCTGCCTCCTGCATTCCCCTTATTGGGGATCGAGACCTCAACCTGGGCATATGCCCTTGACCAGAATCGAACCCAGGCCCCTTCAGCCCACAGGCTGGTGCTCTACCCACTGAGCCAAACCAGCCAGGGATTTAATGAATTTTTGAAAGAGACCTGGGGCAAACTGATGTGTTCAGTCATGTTAAACAGAATTCCCTGCATTAGTTTATTCCATTGACGACACCCCTACTTTTCTTTATTCAGTCTTTACTTTATCCAGCTTGGATTCCATAGTCTTTCATTCTAGTCACTTTCTTTTTTTTCTTTTTCTTAATATGTTTTTATTGATTTTTAGAGAAAGAGGAAGGGAGGATAGAGAGATAGAAACATCTCTGAGAGAGAAACATCATCAATTGGCTGCCTCCTGCACACCCCCTACTGGGGATGGAGCCTGCAACCCAGGCATGTACCCTGACCAGAATCTAACCAATGACCTCTTGATTCATGGGTTGATGCCCAACCATGAGCCATCCAGCCTGACCACTTTCTTAAATATACCATCAACCCTTCACCTCTGATTTGGTAAAATTTCAGCATGAGTATTTTTAACTGCTTCTCCCTTCTCCTAATATAGGTGCTCTGCATCTCGTTTTCTGAATTCTCAGGAACCTTGATTTATTATTATTATTATTATTATTATTATTATTATTATTATTGGTTAATTCTCATCCAAGGCTATTTTTCCCATTGATTTTATTTTTTTAGTTAATTCTCACCTGAGAATATTTTTCCATTGATTTT